CTTCCAGTGGCCACCTCCCAGCTGATCACACCTTGTTCCTAGAGGATTTTTTGAAATGTTGTTCCCCAGTGTACATTATTTCAGGGTCTCTCCATTGCTGGCTGGCTGGCTGGTGTAGAAACTCTTTTTATGACACCTTTAACATGATCCCCCTTAAACTATGCTTTAATGACACAAAATCACTTATTCCCCGAGTGCCTGGTGCTACTCACTTTCTCATGCTGCTTCCTTCTTCTGTGGGGCTTCTGCTTCCTGGATACTTCCTTTTGGGAAAGTCATGCTTATTTCTAAAGAGCACACTGGTACCATGTCCTCTGCAAAGGCTTTCCTGGCACTCCTCCGAGTATATCTGAATGCCTTCTCCTTTGCCAAGTTTGCTGTCCTGTGTAGTTATTTCCACACTTCTGCACTGAATTATAGCTCTTTATTTGCTTACTGGAAGCCCAGGTGGTACAAAAAATTAAGCATGTGGTTACTAACCAGAAGATCATCAGTTCAAACCCACCCAGAGGAACCTGAAGAAAGGCTGGGTGATCTGCTTCTGAAAAGTCACAGCTGTGAAAGGCCTGTGGCGTCAATTGGCTCTGTAATACATGTGGTCCCATGCTTTGGAATTGAATCACTGGCATTTGGTTTGGTTTTTGGTTATTTGCCTGTCTTCCTCCCCTCTCAGTGTGATGTGAGGCTCACAAGTCAGGGACTACATCTTACTTCTTTGTATACCTACTGTGAAGCATAATACCTGGTATTGAGTAGATACTTAATATGAAGGTAAGTAAAAAACATTGCCTCAAAATATAGAAACAAATATTATCAAGCAACAATTTCCAAATGTGAAGCTACTGTTTTTTGACATATCCTCTATCTAAGTCTCCACACTTCTGAAGACAGTGTTTCCATCGCTCTCATCATTGCCTGAATAATTCTGCACTCTGAGACTTAGAACACATCAGAATGGCAGTTTTGGGATCCCCCAGGGACTTGCATTGTGCTCCTTTTAAATGTTCTTTGGCTTTTGAGAAATAGAAAGCAGTCTGAAGGGATCAGATCAGGACTCTGGGGTGGACAGGGAAAGATTCCCTGGCAAAATTCCAGTAGGACGAGAGCCCTTGAAGAATGAGCAGGTGCACTGTGGTGTTGGTGGGAATTGGGGTCGGGGTCGGGGACCTCATTGTAACTTTCTTGTTTAAGATGAGCTTGGCCATGATTTGCAGCGGGGCTGGTAGGGAGAGGTTGATGGGTCCGGTTTCAGGTTCTGTTGGAGGAGAAATGGTGGTAACACACACGGTAGCCGTGTCCTATAGCTGTGTTGCTGGACTTCTGCAGAATGCAAGAAGTGGTAGGCGACAAGGACTAAAGAATAAACCCTGCTTACTGTCTGCATCAAGGAAAGTAGAGAATAACATCAATACAGGATTCTTGAGTAAGAAGTGGTTAACTTTGTAAAATTTTTACACCAAGACAGTGAAAACTACTAAGAAAAAGTAAACACCTACATCTTTCTAAGGTCTGACTGGTATGATTTATATCCTTTTTTTCTCCAACTCCAAACAAGGCTGCAGAAATCAGTCAGCTGCTTCTTTGACACATGGTTATAAGGGTTGTCTTTGGAGGGACAGAATAAATGGTCATGGTTAGACACCTAACCATGTCAGGAAAGAGCTAGAAGAGCACCCTGAAGGGCATTTCCCCCCCATGGACTTTAATGTTGAATTTTTATTTGAATATCTATCATATATTTACATGCATTTATATTTACTCCTTCTACTTTCCACCAGTCTCATAGCATACATTTCATTAGGTGGAGTTGTATCCATATCAGCAAATATCCAAGTACGTATTTCATTACTCTTTCTGAGATTTGGCATTTCCAATTGGGATAATTTCTGCTTGGCAAACAGCTCTGACTGGTTTCTCACATTCTGGAGAAGCCTTGATCATTCTGACAGAGCTGTGGAATACAACTTAAAACCCTTTGATTTCTAGGAGGGTTCCCTGTCCCAAACTACTCTGCGCCGTTTCTCCAAACTGATTAGAAAACCAGCTGCTGACTGGAAAAAACAAAAACAACCCCCTCCCCCAGCCCGTTCTAACACAAGAAAACAATAACAACAACAAAACCACCACACACTAAATCATCTAAATCTAAATTTATTTCTATACCATGCGTTCCAAATTTGTATCTAAATGATAGAACTTAAGTATGGCTCCTCTTGATTGCTTTTTATACACTGGCAGTATTTGATTAGTTGTAAAGAACAGTGATAACTTGGGATTCAATAAATTAAGACCTATTACTGAAAGCAAAAATAGAGATAAGGGAGCAAGTGATCCCTCCCACGTTGAGGGTTGGCTTTTTCAATATGGAAGCTTTGGGACGACTTCATCCCTTCCCAGTATTCCCTGCCTCTCTCTGGGTAATTTGCATTGAAGTTGGGAAAGATCATCTTAGCTTTTGAGGGGAATAGAAAGAATGCCCTCATTTGGGGGGTGGGGGTGGGGTCTCAAGCCTAAATGAAGTATTTTTGGGTGCCTTCTCTATTTCAGTTTGATATGAAGCCAATATGTATTTTATGTAATTCACACCAGCTATCAATGGGTAATATGCAGAGAAACAAGTTTGTCCATTGATTCAAATCTCTGGAATGTAGATTCTTTTAGTTTTCTTGGCAGAAACTACCTCACATAGTTCAAGTTTTTCTCTGTCCTATTATAATTATCTTGTTTGGCCAGTGCCTGGACTAACTTACTGAATATTTATCTTTAATTCCGTAATCTCATTCAGAAGATTGATTTTTTAAAAACTAATTTCTACTTGTCATTGATGGAGAAATATATATTGATGCATATTCTGAGAGGTTACATTTCTCAAGCTTTGCATCTTGGGATGATAATATTGGGGTGGGGTGGTGGGTGATGTGAGGAAGCTTACTTTGAAATGCTTAAAAAAACAAACCCCAAACTTGGTTAAACCAAATTCAATAAGTTTCCTCTAAGTAATTAGATTTCTCTTGGCTTTTAATTTGCTAATATGCATTATATATATATATATATATTTACACACACATATATGAATAAAATACATATATGAAGATTCATGCTAAACAGTGTTTCTCATTTGTTTGACAACAGAACTTTTTTTCTTTTTTAACATTTGGTACTTTGAGGTACTTTTTTAACATTAGGGTACATTGGCATAAATTCTAGAAAGATCTAGAATTTAGAGTCTCTGATTTACCACTAGCTAACTTGTGACTAGAGCCCTGGTGGTAGAGGGGTTACAAGTTGGGTTGCTAACCACATGATCACCAGTTTGAAACCACCAGCCACTCCAAGGGAGTAAGATGAGGTTTTCTAGTCCCATGGCGTTACAGTCTGGGAAACCCACAGGGGCAGTTCTACCCTGACCTACAGGGTTTCTATAAGTTGGCATCGACTCGATGGCAGTGCGTTTGAGTTTTGGTTTTCGAGTTTCGTGATCTTGAACAAATCCTTTGTCTTTTACCCCATAAGATTTACTTAGTTTATTGTTGTTGCAAATATACACAGCAAAATATACACCAACTCAATTATTTGTACATGAACAATTCAGGGACATTGATTCCATTTGAGTAGTGCAACCATTCCCACTCCTTTTCTGACTTGTTCTTTCCTCATGAGCATAAGTTCTTTGTCTTCTAAGCTTTCTATATAATCTTTCTTTTTAAAAAATTGCTCTAGTTTTTAATATTTTCTGCTTTCTTTTTAACCATTTCATTGGTGCTCTTACAGCTCTTATAACAATCCATACATCCACTGTGTCAAGCACATCTGCACATATGTTGCCATCATCATTTTCAAAACATTTTCTTTCTACTTGAGCTCTTGGTATCAGCTCCTTAGTCCCACCCCCCTCCTTCTCACACCCTCCCACTCTCCTATATACTCTTTCAAGCTACTCTTATCAGTTTGATCCCATATCAAACTCACTGCCATCATGTCAGTTTTAACTCACAGGGACCCTATATGACAGGGTTTGAACTGGCCCTCTTGGTTTCTGAGACTGTAACTGTTTATGGGACTAGAAAGCTCTGTGTTTCTTGTGTGGAGCTGCTGGTGGTCAGACTGCTGACCTTGCAGTTAGCAGCTCAATGTATAACCAGGATGCCACCAGAGCTCCTTTGATCCCATATAAATAGATATTAAAAGTGTAATGATAAATTATTCTATTTTAGATGACTTCAGAGAATAGTTTGGGTTTAAGGTTTAATGATGGTCTCAGGGCAGTACTTTCAGGGGTACATCCACCCTTCTTGGCTTCAGAAAGTCTGGAGTTGATGAGGACTTTAAATTCTGTTCTATACTTGACTTGCTTTGCGTAAATAATCCTTTGTATTTTGGCCTCACATATCTTGCATGGATTAATGGTTCTGTTATTGATTTTTCATAGTCCAATTTTCCACCTCTTTTTTAATCCACTGAAACCATACCTTCCTTGCAGCCTGTTCTGTTACACGGAGGATTTAATACTTTCTCTCTGCGAGCAAAAGAAGAAACTCTTTAAAACCCTATTTTCCCTAGATTAAGGTCATGGAATCACATTGGATTAATATTTCAAGTAACTCGATTGGGTTAATTCATTCTCTGATTGTATTTTATTGATCTATTATATCCACGTAATATGAGTGTAAGTGTTACCTAAAAAAAATAATTACAGACTCCCTCCCATTTTTTCCCTAAAAGATAAACAGTCTATCATTTGTACTTATCTCTTAAATACATAAGTGAGAATGGATAGATTCCATTTTTAATGTTTTTTTGGATAATATTGGCTGATTATTTTTGTTTTCATATGGAAAACTGGAAAATGAGCTCCAGTGGGATCCCTTCAGGGTAAAGAACAGTTACTTTAATATACTTGGTTTTATTTGTGGAATAAAATTTTTATGTGGTAAGTTTTTTTATTATATTTAATTAGGTTTGCTTCTTCTTTTTCTTACGTGTGTGTGTCTCTATTCTAGGCCCAACAACAAAGAAACCTGGATAACATCGTTTTACAACAACCCAGAATAGGTAGCAAGAGAAAATTGAAGAAAGATGCATATACAATTTTTGATGCAGAGATAGAAAGCACTAGCCCCAAGTCTGAACAGGACTCAGGAATTCTGGATGTTGAAGATGAGGAAGATGATGAAGAGGTAACTAAAATCTGAACTGGAGCAATGAGATAATTGTTTGGTGTAAATGAAATATGGTTAAGTGTAATGAAGAATTTATTGACAATAATGTAGCCTGTGTGACCTTCTGAGTTCTAAATGTCATTTTGAATTCAAATAGACCCCAATTTAAGGAAACGGAAGATACATTAAGCTATCTTAGATTTAAGAGGACTTTCATGTTTGAGAGGACACAGGGTTTCTTGGCATTGTATTGATTAAGGTAGTCCATTAAGTGAAGAGTAGAGTTTACCTGACTTAAGAGATGAGGTCCAGATGGCCTCCACTGGAACTAGAACGAAGTTATTTGAAGCAAATACAAGGTGCTACTTCAGAGAGTAGGTAGTAAGCAAGTAGATTTCTGTATCTTGAGAAAGGGTGTGGATGGAAAAAAATTTTAAGCACTAGAAAGCTTAGCATATATTCCTGTAGGAAATATCAGTGGGCATCAAAATAAACCAGAAAAAAAGTTCTGCTGGGCAGAGCTTTTGTAGTATGAATTTTTCCCACTAGGTGAGCACTGAGCAACTCGCTCTGAGTTAGTGCATTTAAGGGCATCACCTGTGAAGGTTCTCTTGATCACAGTGAATTTTTTATAAAAGCAATTTTGCTCAAATCTCGTTTTTTGTGATGGCTGCTTTAAGGGAACAACGTGCGGCTGTGAAATTTTGTCTCCTGCCTCGGGGGAAAAATGCCACTGTTGTGATATTGAACACAGCTGACAAGATGGGAAAACTCAAGTATATGAGTGGTTTTCTCATTTCAAAAGAGGTGAAATGTTGATTGATGGCAAATCTTGTTCTGGACATTCATCAACTTCCCGAATGGATGAAAATGTCAACTTGTACTGCATTTGGAGTTTGTTCCACCAGGTCAGACAGTTAATCAAGCTTTCTATTTAGACGTTCTAAAAAGATTGCATAACATTGTGTGACAAAAAAGGCCCAATTTGTGAGAGGGGGCACTGGTTTTGCCACCATGACAATGCACCTGCTCATGCAGTTATCTCAGTCCTCTGGTATTAGGCAAAAGACCAGCACGCCTCTCTTGCTGCATGCACCTGACTCACCTGACTGCACTTCGTGCAACTTCTTTTTCTTTCCACGAATGTAGAGGGCCATGAAAGGACAGTGATTTGACCAAGTAGAAGAGGTGAAGCAAAAAACCAGGGAGGTTTTGTCAGCCATCCAAACAGATGGGTTTGAAAATGTTTCCGAGAATGGAATTGCAGACTTGACATATGTATTAAGTGTAATAGAGAGTATTTTGAAGGTGATAACATTGTTTTGTAAAAAAATTTAAATACATAGCTTTGGGTGTGTGTGGAAGAATTCTGGTTTGGGGGGAATACCCCCTTATAGGTATCTGAGTGATTGTGGAAGAATCTAATAATTTTTTGATTTATCTTTTAGATAATTCAGCATCACTCTAGGCAAAGCGTATGTTTAAGTCACTTCATTAGTACTTACTTTTTATATTCATTCCATTGTATTTAGAAAAATTAAACTATGGTGATAATTTAGGTTTCCTGTAAAATATTTTTTCTTTCCTATGTACTAATTATTTGCATATACTAGATCCATTTATTTGTGAGTATATCGGTTAAGAGCATGACCTTTAGAGTCAGACATACTATTCAAATTCAGGCTCTGCCACTTTATTATTTTTATTAATAATCATATTACTGACTTTTGAAATGGCCACCAATATATGTAAGGAATGATTTATTTCTGTGCTCAGAAGCTTATTAAGCTTTTAAGTGGTAGTCTCTTTTTCTTTGTTTCATTTCTCCTGATAAAACAGGGTTGACTTTCTTTCCTTATCCTGTTTCCCTTTTCAGCTTTTCCTATTCTTTTTGGTCTCCCCTCTAGGTTAAAAAAGAAGCTCCACCCCCATACTTGATACTGACTGAATTTGTAACCTTAGGGAAGTGGGTTAATCTGTTGGTAACTTAGTGTAGTCATCAGTCAAAGTGAAGACAGTGGTCTCTGCTCCAGGAGGTTGCATATGGAATCCGCTCCATAACAAATGGTCTGTAGCTGTCAGACTGTGTCCTGGTTTCAGTATTCTTTCTTGCTGACTCTTCTTTGTGTCAGTGCTGTCAGTCTGTCTGTTCCTGTTATTCCACCGCAGTAAAGCGTACGTTAGAAGAGTACACAGTTCCATCTTTCTTCTACAGCATGGTTGGTGGGTTTGAACCACCATCCTTGTGGTGAGCAATCCAGTGCTTATCTGTCAGTGCCACCAAGATTTCTTTAACTCTTAGTAGAGCTAAGAAAAACCTTTTTGAGTCTTATCCTCTCCACCAATTTAGGTTAGAACAATCAGGGAATTCCCTGATATTCATTGAGAATAGAAAGGAGTAGAGAAAATAGGAATACTAGTATGCTCTCTTTTTGCTTGTTTAGTATAGTAGGTTATGGATCCACCCTGCAAAACAGACTGCCATTTATTATACCAGTCACTGATGAGGCACTATAGTAGTTCAATAGCCTATCAGTTTTAAGAAATTCCAGTGAACTCCTTTTATTATATTTTGGGTGCCTATCAAGGAAGTAGCTAAAGAAGACCTGGTGGCGTTGTAGGTTATGAGTTGGACCACTAACTGTGAAGTTAGAAGTTCGAAGCCACCAGCTGCTCCTTGGGAGAAAGATGAGGCTTTCTACTCCTGTAAAGAGTTAATTCGCACAAGGCTTTTCTGCTCTGTCCTATGAGTTAGAATGAATTGACTCGATGGCGATGAGATCAAGGAAATGGAAAATTCTGTTAGATGCTGTGGCTTAAGGAAGTAGAAATTAAACATTATCTGTGCTAGGATAATTCAAGCCCTGAAGAGATGGTTGTCTGATCAAATGAAAGAATGAAATACATGCCCGGTTCTCCTATGATAGTCAGAACTTTGTGGTTAGGAGCTGTTGCTTCTGGGGATAGAGCCCTTTTGATTTTGGGCTACATTTCTTGTCTTCGGAGAGTAGAGAAAATAATGGTAGTGGAGCTAATAAATGTGTTTGGGGCTCCTCATAAAACATACTATGAGAATATAATCAGAAATTAACATTTAAAAATGGCCCTTTATTGCAAGCCACACAGAATTTTTCTTAAGAGATTTGCTGATTGAGCTCTTACAATAAGAATTCAGCACTTCACTGTCATCTAATGGCATCCTATCTTTAAAAAAAATTCCTACCTTATATTTATTTACTTCTCAGTGTGAATCTTCTTCAAGTGCACATTCTTAATCTCAAACCTCATGTAGAGAATTATTTATTTAGATGTCTCCAAACTGGTTTCTTGGCATAGTTCTTGCATGGGGTGAATAAATTCTTCAGATAAGGTCTTTTGTGACTCACTGTCACGTTCTGACCTTCATTCTTGTCATTCTTCCACAGACCTCATTGAGAGCAGTGTAAATAGTTTTAGGGGTATTGCGATTTTTATTCTTAGAACATGGTAATTATGGCATAAAATCCTGTAGGGCAGTAGTTCTTAACTTGGGGTTTTAATTCCCTTAAGAGTTTGATAAAATATATGGAGTCTTTTACCAGTAAAATGTACATATATTCACTCACAAAAATTTCTGCATGCAATTTCAGGGAATTCATGAAATTCATGTTGCCCTTAGACTCCAAATTAAGAACTCATGTTGTAGAGTAGTAATACTTGAACTGCATTGTGCATAGGGATCACCTGGGAATCAAATTGCAGAGTCTCATTCTGCAAGCTGAGTTTGAGAGTCAACATTTCTAACAAGCATCCAGGTGAGGATGGTGCTGCAGGTCCACTTTTAGTTATAAGATTGCTTAGGACCATCAAAAGATACAGTGTCTGGGGTCTTTAAAGCTTGAAGGTAAACAAGCGGCCATCTAGCTCAGAAGCAACAATGCCCCCATGGAACAACATATCAGCCTGTGTGATCATGAGGTGTCGAACGGATCACTGAAGACAAATGGGTGCATAAGCAAATGTGGCGAAGAAAGCTGATGGTGCCCGGCTATCAAAAAGTATAGCGTCTGGGGTCTTAAAGGCTTGAAGTAATCAAGCGGCCATCAAGCTCAGAAGCAACAAAGCCCTCATGGAAGAAGCACACCAGCCTATGCAACCACGAGGTGTCGAAGGGATCAGGTGTAAGGCATCATCAGGACAACAAATCTTACCATAGTGAACGATGGGGGGGAGTGCGGAGTGGAGACCCAAAGCCCATTTGTAGGCCACTGGAGATCCCCTTGCAGAGGGGTCTCAGGGAGGAGATGAGCCAGACAGGGTGTGATATAGCAACGATGAAAAATACATCTTTCCTCTGGTTCCTAAATGCTTCTTCCCCGCCCCCACTATCATGATCCGAATTCTACCTTGCAAGTCTGGCTAGACCAGAGGATGTACACTGGTACAGATAGGAACCAGAAACACAGAGGATCCAAGGCAGATGACCCCTTCAGGAACAGTGGTGTGAGTGGTGATACTGGGAGGGTAGAGGGAGAGTGGGTTGGAAAGAGGGAACTGATTACAAGGAACTATTTGTGACCTCCTCCCTGGGGGACAGACAACAGAAAAGTGGGTGAAGGGAGACGTTGGACAGAGCAAGATATGACAAAATAATAATTTATAAATTATCAAGGGCTCGTGAGGGAGGGGGGAGTTGGGAGGGAGGGGAAATGAGGACCTAATGCCGGGGGCTTAAGTGGAGAGGAAATGTTTTGAGAATGATGAGGGCAATGAATGTACAAATGTGCTTTACACAATTGATGTGTGTATGGATTGTGATAAGAGTTGTATGAGCCCCTAATAAAATGATTCAAAAAAGAAAACAAAAGCTTCCAAAACAAACAAACAAACAAACAAACAAACAAACAAACAAACAAACAAACAAACAGATTGCTGAGGACCATGAGCTAGCATTGTTAGTGCACAAAGACTAATACCCATGAGTAAGTGGGGCTCTTCTTGAGGGCTCTTTGTTATTGAACAAATATTTTCCTGTAGCT